ATTTTACCACAAGAGAAAAACCTATGTTGAATAAGAATAATCAAATTCATTGATGAGCATGAAAGTTTGTACACAAATTCGATGATGATTCAAAACTTCAAAAGAACAGTTGGATATTCTAATGGAACAACTGACTGCTCTCAGACTCACTTAACAGAAAATAATCATTACTAAAGAAAGCAATGATAAATAGTTTTTTTTTTTTTTTTTTTTTTTTTTTTTTTTTTTTTTTTTTCTAGAGAGTATTGTATTTTATTTACTGTTTGCTAAGTTTCAAGGCAAAATCAAATGAAATCTTGGTTCTTTATTTCATATTTAGCCCGCTAATGATCAGACTGAAGAACAGATATTATTGGTTTTTTGTTTTTTCTTCTTGATTTTGTTTACTGCATTAAAGAAGCTCTCTCTTTTTAACTAGTAGATGGTAGAAAAATCATTTATTGATACTTAGTTCTGGCAGTACTAATCTCATTTTATCTGTTAATAGTTCATACATCCCTGAATTACAGATCAGGGTCTCTCTTGGTGCTGCATCTTGAAGCCAACTCTTGTTCACTAGTAACACTGTAACAGGGTTTGGAAGATGGGATCGGGTCAGTGGTGCATTGAGAACAGATCTGGTAATAGAAATGACTCGTTTGTAAGGAAGGATGAGGCTGTGCCTGAAACTGGGTGTCTCTCAATTATTGTCCTTGGTGCCTCTGGTGATCTAGCCAAGAAGAAGACTTTCCCAGCTCTCTTCAATCTTTATCGCCAGGTTGGGTCATTTATTTGGTTTTTTTTTATCTATTTTGAACTGAAATGGAGTCAATCAATGTCTCACTAGATTTCGTTTTTGAGTTGTATGTATCAACCTGGTGTCCCCGGGATGATCAATTATTGATTTTTTGCGTTCTAATTTTGGATTTGCAATGGTATGTTTATTGCAGGGATTTCTACAACCAGATGAGGTGCACATTTTCGGATATGCAAGGTCTAAGATTTCAGATGAGGAGCTGAGAAATCGCATTCGTGGGTGAGATAGCTATGTTGACCATTTATCTCTTTGCAATTTGTCTCAAGTAGGATAAGCAATAAGTAATTAAAGAATGTTCTTGCAACAACTATTATTTTTCCTCTCTGTGGTATCAGTGTTTGTTACTTTGTTTAGTTATAATTGAAATAGGTTTCTGTTCTCAGAGAAGGTTGTTAGATGAAGGGAATTATATTTAATGTATGTTGTTTTTATATCATTCAGGCTCAAGTTTTACCATGATATTCTTGTCTGATACATCTTGTATTTTCTTATGTTAATTGTCAGTTCAAAATGCTTGCTTCACTCTTTCATGAATATTCAAATAATTGAACTCAATTCACATATAATTTGAAACTGCAGATATCTTCTTAGTGACAAAAATGCTTCACCAGAACACTCAGAAGGTGTATCAAAGTTTCTACAATTTGTAAGTCCAGCTCTTTCCTATATTATATTTCTTTAAGTTCAGTCTTCTGTTCGCTTGTAACAAGCAATTACCTTTTTGTAGATTAAATACGTAAGTGGTTCATATGATACTGAGGAAGGCTTTCAGCTATTAGATAAGGAAATTTCAGAGCATGAAATCTTGAAAAAAAGTCAAGAAGGATCTGCTCGGAGGCTCTTTTATTTTGCACTTCCACCATCAGTATATCCATCAGTCTGCAGGATGATAAAAAGATGTTGCATGAATAGATGTAAGTTTTCACTTTCTCAGTATTAGCTTTGTGTAGGTTTTGAGAATTAGCTTGTAGTTTTATCTAAAGTGCTCAAATGCCAAAATTGACCAGCCTTAGGAGGATAGGAGTGAGATCACAGAGTATTATTTGATATAATCAGCTATGTCATTGTTTGTCAGTGTTGGACAATATCACTAAAGCCAACTTATATTTCCTCCATATAATTGCTTCCAGCTGATCTTGGTGGATGGACTAGGATTGTTGTTGAGAAGCCATTTGGCAAAGATTTGCATTCTTCAGAACAACTCAGTTCCCACATCGGAGAGTTGTTTGATGAACCACAAATTTACCGTATTGATCACTATTTGGGAAAGGAATTGGTGCAGAACTTGGTAATGTACATCTCAATAAATGCTTATATATTTCTTTGTTACTGCATGATCTCTTCTCATTTCATATCTTACATTAATTTCAGTTGGTACTCCGCTTTGCAAATCGCTTCTTTTTGCCCCTCTGGAATCGTGACAACATTGATAATGTCCAGGTGAGAACCTTTCTTTTGTCGATTACACTCTAAGAATTGCAAAATTTATGGTCCACCAAATGTACATTAAAATCGGAATGGGCACACTGGCGTCGAGTGTTATCTTATGGTCCCCAGGTCAATCCATTCCCTACATTCAAGTTTACCACAAAAATTGAAGTTTGGGCATCATTGTTGACCTGGCATTAATTTGCCATTTTTCAAGTGGTATTATCCTGCTAACTCTAATCTGAATGTTGTTTTTCTGGCAGATTGTGTTCAGGGAGGATTTTGGAACTGAAGGTCGTGGTGGATATTTCGATGAATATGGGTATGCAATACATTGCTTGGTTACAATAGCTACATTGTAGGGAAATTTTTGTTGTCTCGTATCTTGTATGCTGCTTTGATTTGTGAAGTTTCTTGTATACTCTAATTCCAATGCATTGGTTTCCATATCCCTAGGCTACTTCCATCCATAGCAATTGCTAACATCCAAAAGAATCTCTTACTACATTCTTAATATGTGATTCTATATAACCAAACTCATTTCCTGTTTTTCCTTTGCAGAATTATCCGTGATATCATCCAAAACCATCTCTTGCAGGTAAGGCCATGACTGATGCAAACTGCCTTTGTTATGGCTAAGAATATGGTCTTTGCATCATTAGTTATATTTATGTTTATAATTAGAGCAACTATGAATAAAATAACAAGAACATTATTTTCTCTGGCCTCTAATTTGGACTTGTTTGTTGAATTCGTTTGAGTTCCAGTAACTGAAAGTTTGAAACAATATTTAAATTTTTTGTCGCTGATGAGAAGTTTACAAAAATCTCTGTCTTGTGTTCATTTGAAAGTCTCTATTTATGCAAAACTTTCATCAACTTCTTCTCACCTCTATGGCTGCTATTTAAAAGCACAACTGTGAGAAGAAGAAAACCACAACCTTTCAAAAAGGAAAGAAGGAAAGAAAAGGGTATACTTGAAGAAGGAATGTTTTTTGCAGTATTTATCCATTTTATTTATTTATCTTCTATCACTTCAGGTTCTTTGTCTTGTTGCAATGGAGAAGCCCGTCTCACTCAAACCCGAGCACATCCGTGATGAGAAAGTAAAGGTGTGTGGTTACTACCAGACTAGTAGCTATTCCTTTCTACCAAAAAGATCTATGCTTTAGAAACTCCTTTTGATATGTATAAAAATTGATATATTTCATTTGAGCTGATTACTTTGTGAAAATCAGGTTCTTCAATCAGTACTCCCAATTAAAGATGAAGAGGTTGTCCTTGGACAGTATGAAGGTTACAGAGATGATCCAACTGTTCCAGACCACTCAAATACACCAACTTTTGCAACTGTTATTCTTCGAATCCATAATGAAAGATGGGAAGGTAGCATGATTTTGAAATTTATTTTTGTTTCTCTTCTATAATAAAATTCAAAATTGTGCTGTAGGGTATTCTTAATTACCTTTTGGATCTTGATTCTATATCTTCTATCATGCCTAGTCATGATTGTTTATTATATTATTATTCTTTTTACCTTCTTCATTGATTGATAAAACCACAACATTTTCTCTGCCAAATACAGTTTTATTTATTTATTTGCTATGTTCTCAGGTGTTCCATTTATATTAAAGGCAGGGAAAGCATTAAACTCAAGGAAGGCAGAGATACGTGTTCAGTTTAAGGATGTTCCTGGTGATATATTCAAATGTATGTTAATGTACATTGAAATTTCTGGTTTCTTGTTAGTATCCCTCAAATATTGCTTGCGTTTATTTTGCTTATGTTTGAGTCATACAGAAGTTATTACATTCTGAAATATGAAATCGGAGTTGAACTTATTTGGAAAACAAAATTGACAAGTCTTATAGGATATCATTTCTCTGTGCTGCAAGATTTGTTTGCTAAGCTTTTGTTATTGTGGTATTAGAAGAAAAACATGTTTCCGATCTTGGTGAATAGTACTCATAAGATAAAGTACCAGCATGTAACCATCAGAACATGCCCGGATGCTTTTATTTTCTAAATACTTTTCCGAGCATGTTGATCTTTTAATCAAGCTTATTAAAGAAAAAAAAAAAAACTTTTAATCAGCTTGTAGCTTGAATACTGCCATCTTATGTAGGTCAAAAGCAAGGGAGAAATGAATTTGTTATTCGCCTGCAACCTTCTGAAGCCATTTACATGAAGCTAACAGTAAGTTTTATCTATGGCATTCTAGAACAGAAATGTCTTTATTTTTAGCACTTATAAATAAGTCTTATGTTTTCTATATGCAGGTCAAGCAACCTGGTCTTGAGATGTCAACAGTACAAAGTGAACTAGACTTGTCATATAAGCAACGATATCAAGGAGTTACAATCCCTGAGGCTTATGAACGTCTTATTCTTGATACGTATGAACCATGAATCTTGCCCTTGTATATATATGTGCATGGTCCTGTCTATAATACTTATTCTTTCTGCATGCCTTGAAGTGCCTCATTTTCTTTTGAGCTTTGAGAAGCTAGTAGGTCAGTAGGTGTAGGAATTGGGATTTCTTCATGATAATGCTATAAAGGTGAATACATGAAAAAAAAATGAACATCTTGATACTAATTGCATGATAATGGGATTGAGATTTCATTTTACAGGATAAGAGGTGATCAACAGCATTTTGTCCGTAGAGATGAGTTGAAGGTAAGAGCCTTGGAAATATATCGGTACCAAAAAAGCTTATAGTGCCTACTCACAAGCTAATGGTCCTATTGTTTCAATGAACAGGCCGCATGGGAAATTTTCACCCCTCTTCTTCACGGAATTGACAACGGTGAATTCAAACCAATTTCATATCAACCAGGCAGCCGAGGTCCTGTAGAAGCGGACGAGCTGCTGGCTAAAGCTGGTTATGTCCAAACGCATGGATACATATGGGTTCCTCCCTCCTTGTAGAAATGTAGAATGCATAGAAGTGTTCTAATCGCCATATAAGTTAGTCTCCTCAAGGCAAGGTGGTGGCATATCAATAATGTATCAATGGCTTGTTTAGGTTGTGTAAGCCCTTTATATGCCCGTCAATAATGTATCAATGGCTTGTTTAGGTTGTGTAAACCCTTTATATGTTTCCCCCGGAAGTTGTTACTCCCTGGCTGGGTTTAGAGTATGAGTCCATTCGGTTTATAAAAGCATGGTTTTGCAATAAATACTGATACAACCACTTCCAAATCACAAAGTATTCATTAAATGTCAGTGATATTTTTGAAAGCAGGCAGTGACATGTTTTTCAAATCTGGTATATATTTTTTCTAATTGAACATTGGAGTTTAACTGAGATTCGTCTTTATCTAATATAGAATATGAAGACTTTATTATCTTATCCTGTCTACGTTAGTGTCGCTTTTGTTTGACCAGATTCTCCAACTACTTGACTCAGAAGCTATCTTCCCTTAGAAGAAGTCCCAAACAGGTATCATTCACCATATTTCATAAAGTACTGTTAAAAAAAAAAAAACCATATATTCATAAAGAACCCCGAAGGTTCCATGTTGAAAAAGGTGAATCTACTTGTAATCAAAGTTTTTCAGAAGGAAGAAAGATACAGCTTCTGGATATGAAGATCTTGCGGGATAGTTAGGCAAGAACATTGCAATATGCTTACTATTAATCACAAGGCAAAACGATTTCAGATTAAGATTAACAGAAATCCGTCTTTGACCCGAAATTTGTTTTTGATTAGTGATCATGAACAATACGCTAAGCAGCATAAATGACAATGACTAGCTGTATTAATTTAATGAATCTTGTGCAATTAAGTGGTGGAGACAGAGAACGCATATGTGCCTTATATTATGGACATAGTGACATAGTCATAGATGTAGATTATCACCATGCCTTTTGTTCTCTTTTGTTGGAAGAATATCTTGTGATGGTAAGCTGGAATGTGTAAGGAGAAGACAAAGAATAGTAAGATAGCGTGGAAAAACAAAACCTTAGAGGGTAAGGTAAACCAATGTGGGGGATGTCCCTTTTTGCTACCTTTTCATCTTAACCTGTTTTTTCATTTTTCATTTTTTTTTTTTTGTTCTTAAAAGCTTTCTTTTACTGGCCACCACCAAACCCATCTCTCTGTTCCCTCAACCTCTATCCCAAAAAGCTCACTTTTAACCATTAATTTGCTTCCACAACCCAACAATTAAATCCCTTACTCGGCTTTTCTTATGTCAATGTTTATCAGCATGGAGACATTTTATTCCGGTTTGTCTTAGGTTTTGTTTTATCGATGTTTGAAACAAAAACAAGTAGTTGAGAGGTGGGGCACAACAATAATGCTTTTGAGTCCACTAGATAGTTAAGTGGGTGGTTTTTTCTAAGTATATACAATATTAGAAGTAAGGATAGTGTAAAGTATTTGCCTTGGAAAGTAGATTTGGTCTGTTGAATTATGATAATGGGTTGAGAAAAGAGGTGTGAATGTGGTTATTTTGATCTGATGGTGCTTTGGAATTTTTGTAAGATTGTGACATCATAAAAGAATGAACTAAGGAGTATAGTAGATAAAATGTCAATGTCAACATATACAACTCCCAATCTTTCAAATTACAATTATTTTTAAACTTAAATGGTTAGATGCAAATATGCATTATTTTGTTTTTTAAAAAATAAGTCATTAAATAAAATTATTGTACAAAAAGCACGAAACTCGTTGATAACACAAACATAGCTAAATTGATTTGTTATCCGCTAATAACTTTTGATGCACTAAAAAAAACATCATTTAAAAAAAAAAAAAATTATATTGATAGTGTTGGTATCTACACTAAAGGGATAAGGAAAGATCGAGTTAGGAAGTCGACTTGAAGAATCAAGGTACCTTCACTTATTTTTCAATAAGAAGCGTGACCACAACGACCACACATAAGTGAAAGGCAAAAATACATTATCTCTTTAAGTAATCTATAATGCTTTTTTTCTTATTTAAGGTAAATATTTATATACATATATATATAAACCCTTTAATAATATATTTTTTCTTATGTCATTATATATTGGCATGAACATAAATTTAATATTTCTCACTCATTAAAATCCAAAATAGTCATATTAAAATTCTTTTAATTGCCAAAATCTTTGCAATTAGTGATCAACAAACTTCTCTAAAACAAATGTAATATATTACTACCTAAAGGATTAATTAATCTTAATTAGTAAGGATTTTTTTAACATCTGTTACAGGTTAATATATAGTTTAATTAATATTTTTGTAGTCATTAAATTATATAAAAAATTAATATTAATTTTAGTCTTAAGGTCATATGTATTAATTTAATTACTTAATTATTAAAATTAAAATCAAATTTTATTTTTTATGTAAATTAATAAGTAAAAGGTACATTAATCATATCTTTAATCTATGCACTAAGCACTTGTAGTAATTATATATTTATAGATTTTTCTAAGTATAGATTAGTAATACTTTTTTTTTATTATAAATACATGTAAAAATATAAAAATTGATATTAAATTTAGTATCATTATTAAGTAAATGAATTTAATTAAAAATTAATTTTAATTTTTTAATATAAATTTATAAAAAATATATTTATTATATTTTTATACATATATTAAAAAAATATTTTATTTATTAAAAAACTACATTTACATTTCTGGTTAATATTGTAAATATGTAACCAATCACCTAAATAATTCAGTGATAATCTTAGATAAAAAATAAGAGATGATTATTTCCTGTCATGCAATCAAGATAAAACTAAAAAACATATAAATATGTATGTTATATAATTAGTTTTTTTTTTAAAAAACTCATCCATACTAATATAATATCATGAAGATACCATTACTGTTTATTTATTTACCATATAAACAGAATTTAATTAAAGTAATTAAATTAATTTTGTTGAAGGGGCACCGCACAAAAGCCGAAGCAACTCCCAATTCGTCAGGAGCTTGGTTTCACCTGGTTTCCTTGGTATCTCTCTCTCTGCTTCTCTCCCCCTTCGCCTATTTTTAGCGCAACTCTGCTTCTTCTCTCTCTTCTTCTTCGCTCGTCTTTTTATTCTTTCTTCGTTTCTGTCTCTCCTTCTCTGCATTGCTTTGCACAGGGTTGGGTCGAGCTTCGATTTTCGTCTCCTGCATTCGGTTCTCGAAACACATGCATACTGCTCTTCAATTCCATCCTCCTCTGTTTTCGGTAATTGCATTCCCAACTGGAACCCTTTTCTTAGTTTATTCACTCTTCTTTCTTCTTGTGGGAATAGAGGAGTTTCGATTGTTGAAGGGTTGAATTCAGCTCCGGTTATCTTGATTCTTTAATATTATTGGGTTAGGTTTTTTTGGGGGACTTTCTGGTTGCCCTGTTTCTTTGCAATCCTCTGTGGCACCTGAAATTGAATGTTTTCGTTTTTTTATTCATAATTCCCTTTTGTGGTGGGAATCGGGTTTGATTCTTTCCTTCTTTCTATTTAGAAAGAAGGGTTCTTGATATAGGGCTTGATTTTGTATTCCTTGGTGCGTAAAAACTCAGAAGAATGGCCGTGAATTGGGGTGAGTATGGAAGTTTATGGAGCGTTAGTAGCTTCAATTGGGATTTGGAGAATACCCATTTTCGTGTGAATGGCAAGCCTGAATCAAAAGGCTTTGGTGAGGTTGTTGGGGATGATATCCTGGAGAAATTGCCTGAAGATCCATTTGGGATGGAGATAAGGTCTACGTTTGCAGCGCTTGGTTTCGTCCCAGATTTTGGAGAGGATTGGGGTTCTGATATTTGTGGATTTGGGATGCAAGATGCTGGTGAAAAGTCTGTTTTTCAGCCGATGATTCACAGTATAAATTGGGTTTATAACAGCACAAAGGGGTTCGACCCAGATGATAGCTACAATCAATATAATATATTTGATGAACTAGGGACAGATGATGAATCTATTATCGTGGATTCTGTTTTGGATGATAAAGCTGAGAGATTGCAGGAAGCAGGGCCTCCACATAATGCCATGTTTTTTGCTCTTGGTTATCTTGGTGTTAGGGACCTCCTCGCTGTTGAAAGGGTTTGTAGGTCCTTCCGCAATGCGATTAGAGGTGATCCTCTTCTATGGAGGAGTATTCATGTCCATCAGCCATTCAATGAGATGATTACAGATGAGACTCTTGTGAAATTAACTAGCAGGGCTCAAGGCACCCTTCAATGCTTGAGTTTAGTGGATTGCAGGAAGATCACTGATTTTGGTTTGAAGTGTGTTCTCGAGAGCAATCCAAGGCTGACTAAGGTTGGTATTCCAAACATATTTAATGTTTCAGAATTCCAATTCAATTTGTTTGCTATTTACCCAATTGTTTTATCAGTGTTTTCTCCTTCTGCGTTTCATATTTTGGTAGTGTTTAGGATTTGTTGACATGTGTTTCTTTATTTATACCTTTAATAATCTTGCTTACAATTGAATGCTCTAACAAATTGTAAGGTTGAACTTCTGCATCCTATCCTGGTGAATGGCAACTTTTATAAATCTAATCCCTGATATGGTTTCTTGTGTTTTTATGATAGCATTCAGCAGGATAAGATGTCTGGTCAATAGCATTAGCATGTTAAAAGGCACTATAAAACAGCTATTATAATTGCAGTAATGTCTGAACATGAAAGTTAAATTGACTTACATGCTATACTTGCATCCTTGCTGAAACCAATATTTCTTTATTGGATTGAGTTTTTGTGCATTGGTCACTTATCAAAGTGTCAGTTGCCTGATACCTGTGGTTTTCTTATTACTCAATAAGACATTGTTTTGTTCTCCTAGATTGTGCTGAAAAATTTACAAACTTGTACCTTTTGTTATCTGTGCAGCTTAGTGTGCCAGGATGCATAAAACTGAGTATTGAAGGCATCTTGTTCAATTTAAGAGCCTTGAAGTCTGCTGGTTCCCTTAGAATAAAGCAGTTAAGGATTGGTGGGCGCTTAGGCATAACAGGTGAGCAGTTTGAAGAGTTGAAGTTCTTGATTGGTGTAGATAACATGGTGCAGCCAAGAGCCCCAAAACCACTATTTTATCGTGATGGGCAGCAGTATCTTCCCTGGGATGATGATCGTGCCATTGACATTGAGATGTGCCCTAGATGTCAGCATCTGAGACTAGTTTATGATTGCCCAGCAGAGAGTTGCGTTAATGCTGCTCAGTTGTGCAGGGCTTGCAGACTCTGCATAACACGCTGTATTCAGTGTGGATGCTGCATAGAGAACCGTGATTATGAGGAGATGTTCTGCCTAGGTAATCGTTGCATGGATTGTAAAAGGGAAGAGAAGCCGGAAATGTTAAGTGCTTTCCATCAGGAGACAAGCTATCAATTAAGTTTTTATGGCTAGAAAAGAAGAAATTGCATGTCTTTGGCTGGAAATTACGGAAGGCAGCAGTTGAACATGTGCATAGAAGCCAATGCAGAAATCCAGCATCTTCACATGCATGCTGCGTTGAAGCATGAGTCATAATGGCCATTAGATTCTGCAGTACTGCTTGATTGATGCATCTGTGAGATTTCACTGGGAAAGATCACTAGCCATGTTGATCTCAGAGGAGGAAAAGATACAGAAACATTTTTGTCTGCAGAATCGCATGATTCAAGGAAAGAAAAAAAGGGAGACTGGAAATAAAAATGAGAAAGGAACAGGAGGTGTTGATAAGCCTAGAAGTCAGAGGATGAGTAATGAGGCTCAAGAGGAGATTCAGGGAATATTGGGGCATTGTTATCGTTTACATGGCTGCTGCAACACCTGCTAGCAGATTCTTATCCTGTGACAGGACTGTTCTGCTATTTTAAGCTAGGATCCTCTCGTCACGAAAGTTAGGACCTGTTGGTATTGTTTGATGCCAAGGCGGCCCTTCCTACGGGCCTTGAAAGTTCAGTTTAACATGTAATTGATTATCAAGGCGGACCTGTTGTATTGTTTGATATCAAGGCAGGCCTTGAAAGTTCAGTTTAACATGTAATTGATTAGCCATCAAATTCACTCTTGTTGGTGTTCTTTGTCGATATTGCTTTATTGGCTATATGTCACTCTCCTTTCTTCTAGATGTTTGAAAGTTCAGTTTAAAACGTAATAGATGATGAGAAAAATTATGAAAAAAGCCAAAACATCTTTGATGGGTATTGTAGGATGTGTCCTTGTCAATCTTGCTTTATTGGCTAAATGTTACTCTTTTCTTCTGGTTATGATCGTGCACATCATTTAGTCCTTCATTAGTAAAATCACAAAGGTCAATCATTGATAAAAGGGAGTAGCCTTAATT